CCTGCTTCTCTTAGGTAGGACAGCAACAGGCAGGGGCGCCGTAAGGGGGTGAAAAGTTAGGACGATTCTAAGGGCCCGTGACTGACAGGGGCCCCAAATATTTTTAGAACATTAACAAAAAAAATGTAAGTAACCTTTCATCAATAATCAATAATTAACATTAATATAACGTCTTATTGATGATGTACTCACTAAACTTAAGATTAATTTAACTTATTTTCTTCCAAAAGTTAATTATCCAAAGCATCGAACACCACCATCTATTTACATGTAATGGTTTGGTCCTGCCTCCAAACGCTGTGCGGCACCGCACTTTCTAGCAGCAGAGAGTGAGAGCATGTGAGGAGGGATGCTAGTACTTGGTACTTACGTGTGTACAATGTCTCAACGACTAACAAAGTCAGGCTTTCAAGAAAGAAAATAAAGGAGAGAAAGACAAGAGAGAGGGACTAAAGGGCGACAGTATGTCACCCAGTTTTTCAAAAGAAAAGGTGGGTGTGGTCCATGAGTGGTGGAAATTAGTCTGTTAGCTAAGCTTAATCCATTGTAAATAATAATTGTAATATTTTGCTGACATTAATACATTAATACGTCATACTGTTAATATCTTCACAGAAAATTCAGAGGTTTTTCATTTCACTCCTCTTTTAGCTGACATTTAATAAATGCAGGTACATTTTTAGCAGCTATTCATACTAAATCAGTTGTCCCTCCCCCTGGTGCCAGGACCAACAGATCCATCTCTAGGCTCCACAGGCCTGTCCCCCCATAAGGCTTTGCAGTCTTGCCATGCTGTCCATTGAAAGCCAGTTGGCTAGAAAGCTGGACTTCAAGGACTTGATCAGTGACTTTGCCTGTAAGAAGGCTAGGCGCTGGGCTCTTGGTGAGTAAGGCTGAGCAAGGGCTCGTAATAACTGTTGAAGGGCAAGGCTATGGTAACGATATTGGATCATTACACAAGAGATGCATGATGAGAAAAAGACTGAGAACAGGTAATAGGCTCTGATTTACCACCATCAGGCCTTTTCATTTCCATTTCCGTATTGTTACACTTTAATACCCGCTTATTTTGTAGTTGGTATGTATATTTAATAGGGCTGTCAAACTATTACAATTTTTAATCAGATTAATCACAGCTTAAAAATGAATTAATCATGATTAATCACCATTCGAACTATGTCCAAAATATGCCATTTCTTTATGTATATTGTTGTGGGAATGGAAAGATAAATGAAAGAAGGCAGATATATCCATTTAACATACAGTATCTAGCCTATGTTTATTATAACATTGTTCTGTGTGTCAAAATGAAAGACAGCCCACACACCTATCAATCATCAAACCGTGGGGTCTTAATTCATTACGTGTTGATTTCTATCAACGGGGGAGTACTTTAGGAAAGTCGGGGGGGGCTAGTGGAGTACTTCGTGACCAGGGGCCTCATGTATAACGCCGTGCGTAGGATTCACGTGGGAAGGTTGCTTACGTAGTAGAAATCCGAAAAATAGGTCCATAAATGTTCCGCCACTTCCCGATTCACCAAACATTGCGCACCGGCGAGGAAAGTGCGTACAGCACTTCCTACGCCGGTTTCCCTTTATAAATCACAACCGACTCGAAATGCGGTGCAGCTTTTGCGGAGGTCACGTAACGCCCATATTTGCCTATAAATAGTCAAATAAACGCCCATTCATTCATTCATTCTGACTGACTTTATGAAGAAGATCACAGGAAATGACGACAGAACAGCTAAAAAAGACATCTCACACCGTGTCAGATTATGGTTATTTTGGGGAGGTGGAGATAAATCATATTGTTTGGTGGATGCAGTTTGAACCAGAGTAGCAGCATGGAGGTCGGATCGTCACCAAAATAAATAAATAAATGGCCCGAAAAAGGTTAATGACAAAAACAATACACACATCCTTCCTCAGGCAGTGTGTTTGTACCGGGGACAGGAGACACCCCCTTGATGAGAAACTGTAAGAAGTGAACGGGGAATCCCTCCGGTGTGGAGTCATGACGACTGGATCTGAATTATGTTTTTGTATTTGGTGGTTTGTGTCCCAGCTGTCGATCAGCTGTGCGCAGCGTCTCCACTGCAGCCTGTGCGTCTCAACCCCCCCCACCCTATCCACCCTATCCACCAGTTAAAGGAAATACAACTAATGTGTTGTGTTATATCAGCTGTACAATTTACCACATATGGTGTTCTTAGTTTCCATACCTCCTGTGTTTTACGAGCGACTTATCAAGTCTTAGCAAACGGCATAAAACACGATTAAACGTGATAGTATATAAAACCATGCTCGTATCTACAACCTATAGAAATGCAACAAGGCGTCAGTTTAAAGTAATGCTGTCCTCCTGCTTACCGCATCATTTATGAGAAAACATTTCATAACATTAACACAACATATTCGAGGTGGTTTTAAATAACATATCCGTATTTATTTATTTCTCCAAGTTATGTTTTTGTGTGCACTGAGGAGTCGTAAACAGGCGTTTGTTTAATCATTTTAAGATTGGCTTTAATCAATGTTTGAAAATGAATTCTTCATATATGATAAATGAGAGGTAGCATTTTATTTATGGTATTATTTCCACATATCTCTCTCCATTCTTCCTTCTGCCAACGGTGTCGCAGTTTCTCGTCTCTCCCGTTTTTGTGCTTAGTGCGTACGCATGGGTTAGAGTTTGCGTGGAGGACCGCACGTTTTCCCGTCAAGTTAGTATTTTATAAATCGCAAACATTGCGTAGAAACTGGCGTACGCCATTTTTTGAGCGTATATCGCTTTATAAATGAGGCCCCAGAGCGTGAACATTGTGATAAGCTGTTTTAGCGCAGTTCTCCAGTGAAGGGGGGGGAGTCTCCCTCCGCAGCCGGTTGGCATAGTTTTGGCACAATTCCGTTGTACAGACCGACGTTAACAGCAGCCCTGTCTGTGCACACGGAGACCGACTCTGTCGTCCGGTGATCTAACCGCCTTCTGGAAAAGCTTCACAAGTACGTCGGTACGCAAATGCGCTTTGTGACACAAGTGACGGTACGCATTTCAGATTACGCACATAACCTGAGTACCAGTTATGTGCACCCCTGTACTACAGCAAAAGTATTCTCCGTCGGGACTTCCTGCAACAACACCACGCCGTTATCAAAGATGTTCTATTGAGAAGACGATCACTACGTGACAAAAGTTTTCAAAACCGTGGCTACTGAAATCAATCTTACTAACTGCTGTCTGTGCAATTTACTCCGTGCGAGTTGGCAGACTTTATTTTGCTTACTTTAACATCATTTTTCATGGTGGGGCTAAGCCATTTCTTGGTATGGGTGTAGCCTACCCCAGCCATACCCTGGCGCTGCCACTGGTGGCACGTATGGGGCGGGCCATTCTGCACATGCGTTAAATATTTTAACGCAATTAATTCAAAAAATTAATTACCGCCGTTAACGCGATAATTTTGACAGCACTAATATTTAAGTTATATTTATTTAGATTTGTGAATGTTCCATTAAAAAATGTTATTAAAAAGGCATGTACACCATAAAAGATTACTATTGAGATCTATTGTCAGGAATGTTAGTGTTATATCAAATAGTGAATTCTACTGCAGCAGAATGTTGCAGTCTGCACAGTGTTATATTTTCACCGCTCAGTGTCAGTAAATATTGTGCAGTTAGTATTGGACTACAAGATAGATGCAAGCCTGTACAGGTAGTTATTTAAAGCATAAATGAGTGGGTTGGGTTCTGGAGGTGTGGTTACAGCAATTGTGCTTGGTTGGCGTGGCCTGGGCCTGGTGGTGGGGCCCAATGTGATATATTTTCATGGGGCCCAAAATCCCTGGCGGCGCCCCTGGCAACAGGTAGCCATGGCGAATCTCCATTGTCTGTCGGTGGGCTATTGTCCACAAGGTTTCTGATGTGTGGTCGGCTTGCATGTTGCGAACCGTGTTTAAAGTAAAACGGCAAAAAGTAAATAAACACTGAAAAAATACGAAGAAGGGCAAAGTTGGAGAGGAGCCAAAAGACAATGCGGCCATCTTCACCAGCGCATTTATTATAGGTCTTATTTAAATAAGATTGTATTCATCTATATCCTTAACTTGACATATTTCTTCATTTATTTATTTTCTTTCCTCCCAGGTAGCCTTGAATAAATCTGCCAGAATGTCAAATATCTCTTGTGAATAAATACACTTTTTAAACCATATTTAAGGTCATATGAATCATATGAAACTCTTAAAATGCCTTTACAACATTAAGTATTTAACATAATATTGGGACCATATCTGTATATAATTAATTATACAAACTTGTCTGTAACTTTCATAAGATAAGATTGACTTTATTGATCCCAATTTGGGATTTATTTTCATCACAGCATTCTAAAACAAGGCATTGCACATAATGTGAAAACAAATAAACATCTGAAAATACAATTAAAATATATACATGTTGACAGTGAAATCTGTAGATTATCCGTCTGTACTGTAACCTAACATGTGCATATACTTTGACCTCATTATCAACTCTTTGCACTTCCTGGTTGGATGCTAACTGCATTTCATGTGCAATGACAATGAAGTTGAATCTAATCTGATGCGGCGACATAAACATATCCAGTAGTGAATTCCCATATGATGGATGCTGTTTTCCTAAAGCGAAAACAGATACAAGGGACCTCATTTATCCTGAATCTCCTCCATGTGCATTCTCATTAGTACAAGCAGAAAGTAATCACTACTGTGTAATGCACCAACCCTACTGGTCTGTTAATATCACTGTCTTTGGTGCATACTGATACATGTTCTGCTCTGTGTGTGTGTGTGTGTGTGTGTGTGTGTGTGTGTGTGTGTGTGTGTGTGTGTGTGTGTGTGTGTGTGTGTGTGTGTGTGTGTGTGTGTGTGTGTGTGTGTGTGTGTGTGTGTGTGTGTGTGTGTGTGTGTGTGTGTGTGTGTGTGTGTGTGTGTGTGTGTATCTCTGTCTCTTTAGACGATGTGTTGGCCAGGGATGCCGGGGAGTGTGTGATCTGTCTAGAGGAACTGCAGCAAGGGGACACCATAGCCAGACTGCCTTGCCTCTGCATCTACCACAAAAGGTGACACACACACGTACACACACACACAAATTTGAATTGCTGCCCAATATATAATTTTGCACTTATTCTAATTAAATCCACTCCAATAAAGACGTTCCTAAAAGATGGCCAGTAGTGGTTGCATTTGATATAGAGGTTATTAATATTATACAGTTTGACAGTAGAGTGGTGCAGTGATGACGTATTTTCGTAGGCCGGGCCGGAGGTTAGCAATACAAGGGCTCCGTCCACTAAAATAAATGTAATTTCTCCATTGGAATTTTTAAATATTGCAGAAAATAAGATCTGTGGAAAACACATTTTAAGGATTTGTTCACTTTTTGTTTAGCAGGATAATCTCCACATATTAACACATGTTGTTTGACATGTGCCTGTGTGTGGTGTGTGTGTTTGTGTGCAGCTGTATAGACTCGTGGTTTGAGATCAATCGGTCCTGCCCTGAACATCCCTCTGACTGACCTGCAGGCCCATTATAAATACTGTTCAAGGTGAGACACACACACACAAACACACACACACACACACTTACACACACACACACAATTCATATTACTCCTCTAACAAAAATAATATCCTAAATTGGGATTATTAAAGTATATATCTATCTTATCTATTTGTCTTTTGGCTTTGTATTCAAATTCCAGTGTGGCCCATCTACTGTCTTCTTCCATTGATAGATGTTAGCAAGGGCTGTTTTTATGACACCTAAAAGCTTCAGACATAAAACGTAGTTCCTGACTTATTGTATTCCATTTATATGTGTCATTAAATAAATTACAAAATAATTGTTCTCTGTGACTGTCCAAGACTTTATTTTCCATGAAGCAGTCTTTAAACACTGCCAGATCCCATACCGTGTTCCCTATGGTGTTTACTTCCTGTATGTCTTCTTCTGCTGTTCCCTTTAGTGTTTACTTCCTGTCTGTCTTCCTCTGCTGTTCCCTTTAGTGTTTACTTCCTGTATGTCTTCCTCTGCTGCTCCCTTTAGTGTTTACTTCCTGTCTGTCTTCCTCTGCTGTTCCCTTTAGTGTTTACTTCCTGTCTGTCTTCCTCTGCTGTTCCATTTAGTGTTTACTTCCTGTCTGTCTTCCTCTGCTGTTTCCTTTAGTGTTTACTTCCTGTCTGTCTTCCTCTGCTGTTCCATTTAGTGTTTACTTCCTGTCTGTCTTCCTCTGCTGTTCCTTTTAGTGTTTACTTCCTGTCTGTCTTCCTCTGCTGTTCCCTTTAGTGTTTACTTCCTGTATGTCTTCTTCTGCTGTTCCCTTTAGTGTTTACCTCCTGTATGTCTTCTTCTACTGTTCCTGTTAGTGTTTACTTCCTGTCTGTCTTCTTCTGCTGTTCCCTTTAGTGTTTACTTCCTGTATGTCTTCTTCTGCTGTTCCCTTTAGTGTTTACTTCCTGTATGTCTTCTTCTGCTGTTCCCTTTAGTGTTTACTTCCTGTCAGTCTTCTTCTGCAATTCCCTTTAACAGCGGTGTGTTATCGAGTATTATCAACCTCTAAAATATCCAAATTGACCAATCAGAATTGAGTATTCAACTAGGCTGTGTAATATGTATTAATATGTTGCTTGTAGATAATATATATATATATATATATATATATATATATATATATATATATATATATATGTATTAAGCCACATTCTAAATGAATTCATTAAAGACAATAACCTGGACTTTCTGTATCTGACCGAAACATGGCAAAACCCCTGGACTATTTTTCTTTAAATCAAATCACCCCAGCAGGATTCACATACATTGACAAACCTCGCCCACAAGGGCGGGGTGGTGGTATAGCTGCTATTATCAGAAAGGAAATAAAAGCTACCATAATCCCCATCCCTGATGTTTCTTCATTTGAACACCTGATCTTTAAACTCTCTGGTCCCACTCCCCTGGTCACAGCCATCATCTACCGTCCCCCGAAGCCAAACCCCTCCTTTCTCTCCGGCCTCTCTGACATTCTCACTCAGCTTTCTGCCATATCCCCATCTGTTCTCCTCTTAGGTGATTTTAACATTCATGTTGACGACCCAACCTGCAAATATGCCTCTGAATTTAAGGAAACCCTTCACTGCTGCAACTTCTCTCAACACATCAACTTCCCAACACACAGCCGTGGTCACATCCTGGACTTGGTCTGCTCCACTGGTCTCATCATCCATCATCTGTCCAGCCTCAATCTCCACATCTCTGATCACCTGGCCATCATCATGGACATCAACATCCCCATCCCCACCCAAAAGCAAAAACGCATAATAACCTACAGAAATCTCAAATCCATCTCACCTTCAACAATCACTGCCTCCATTACCTGCAAGATGTCTGTCTCCCCCCCCCCACTTTCTGAAAACCCATCTGAACTTGTGGACTATTATAACAGCACCCTCTCCTTCTGTCTCAATGAACTGGCCCCCACAAAAACAAAAAATGTCTCTTTCATACACTCCGCCCCCTGGTATACCCCCGAACTCCGCCAAATGAAATCAAGGAAACGTCAACTTGAACGCCAACACAAGAAAACCACACTAACAGTCCATCTTCAAATCTACAAAGACTATCTCCAGCAGTACAGTAACGCACTCAAAGCAGCCCGGTCTAATTACTACTCACAACTCATTCAGTCTGGCTCTAGCAACCCCAAGCGTCTGTTCTCCACCATCAGCAAACTTCTCAAACCTCATCCTTCACCACCGAACAGTGCAACTCCTTCCTCTCGTTTTTCCAAACCAAAATCAGCAACATTTACAGCAATCTGACACCCTCATCAGCACCCCCCACCTCCCCTCCTGGCTCCCCCCCCTTCACCTCACAGCCCCTGTCCCACTTCTCCCCTGTGACCCCCATGCAACTGTCCGACTTCATGACTGGAATTAACTCCACCTGCACACTTGACCCAATGCTGGATCAGTTCCCCCCTCTCTCAAACTGTCACACCCATTCTCAAAAGACCTGGACTCACACCTGACATCATGTCCAACTTCCGGCCCATCTCAAATCTCCCCTTTCTGTCAAAAATACTTGAACGTGTCGTTGCCTCACAACTTAAAGCCCACCTCAGCTCCAATGATCTCTTCGAGCCATTTCAATCCGGTTTCCGATCAAAATACAGCACCGAAACAGCTCTTCTCAAAATCACAAACGACCTCCTCTCCTCTGACTCCGGCAACCTTAACATCCTCATCCTCCTCGACCTCACCGCAGCATTCGACACCATCAACCACGCCATCCTGCTGTCCCTCCTCGAATCATCACTCAACATCACCGACACTGCACTCTCCTGGCTGAAATCCTACCTCACCGACAGACATCAGTTTATCAACATCAACAACTGCACCTCCTCCACTGCTCCTCTGTCCCAAGGTGTCCCCCAGGGTTCGGTGCTTGGCCCCCTCCTCTTCATCCTCTACATGCTCCCCCTTGGCAAAAATAATTCATCGCCACAACCTTCAATTTCACTGCTACGCCGATGACATCCAACTTTATATCTCAACAAAAACCATCACCCCCACAACACACTCCACTCTCACCAACTGTCTCTCAGAAATAAAAACATGGATGCAAACAAACTATCTCCTGAAAACTATCAACTGAACAGTGCCAAATCAGACATCATCATCATCGGCCCCCGACCCCGTACCAAAGCCATTCAGAATTTCAACTTCACCATTGACAGCCACCCTCTATCTCCCCCCCCCCTCACATCCGCAACCTCGGAGTCATCTTCGACAGTCAGCTCAAATTCAACCACCACATAAATCACATCACCAGGACCGCCTTTTTCCACCTCAAAAACATTGCCCGTCTCCGCCCATCACTCTCCTCCTCTGCTGCTGAGACCCTGATTCATGCATTCATCACTTCACGACTCGACTACTGCAATAGCATCCTCTACGGCATACCATCCAACCTCCTCAATAAACTCCAACATATCCAGAACTCTGCTGCCCGCCTCCTCACCCACACCCGCTCCCGAGACCACATCACTCCCGTCCTCCAGAACCTCCACTGGCTCCCCGTCGGTCAAAGAATCAACTTCAAAGTCCTCCTCATTACTCACAAAGCCCTCAACAATTAGGCCCCCCCCCTACCTCACAGACCTGCTGCACCACCACGCCCCTTCCCGCTGCCTCCGCTCATCAGAAGCCAACCTCCTATCCATCCCCACCCGCACCACTCACCGGACCTGGGGGGACAGAGCCTTCTCCGTCGCTGCCCCCTCCCTCTGGAACTCACTCCCACAACCCATCAGACTGCACTGACCTCACCACCTTCAAAACACTCACAAACACTCACCTCTTCAATCTGGCTTTTAATGTGTGATTTTTTTTGTATTATTTGACTTTAACTTTAACTATATATTTATTTGTTGTTCCTTCCTTTTCTTTTCCCTTCACTATATCTGTAAAGCGTCTTTGAGCACCTGTAAAAGCGCTAACAAATTAAATCTATTATTATTATTATTATTATTATATATATATATATATGTATATATAATATAAACCATATACTCTATAACTTCAACTACGGTATCATTTCATTTTCTAAATATCTGTGTGTCTCTGTCTCTGTCTCCAGGACATCTCGTGGTTGTGCCATGGATATCTGGACACAGACACAACCAAATCTGATGAACCAATCTTCACTTCCTTACCCTGACAGAATCCATCACCTTAACCAAGATACTTACTCCTTGTCAATGAACCCAACAAACGTGAACCATCGTACATGAAAGGTCCCTTCCTGTCGTCGGCTGAAGAGAATGCTCCCCCCCGTCCTCCTTTCACTCTTCTCCCCTCCAGCCCCAGCCCCCTCCCTGACATGCTCAGGTCCTCGCAGGCCTCCAGCGGCCAGCCTTCCATCTTGTATCTGGATGGATGCAGGCCTGTCAGTCACTAGTGTCAAGCCCCCCATGGCCTTAACTGGGGAGGGGAGGAAGCAGATCGGGTGGGAGGACGAGGAAGAAGAAAACCAACAAATGGAGGATTGTTGTGCTGCTTCCTTTGAGATCAAACTTTTACATGACTTGGTGGGCCTCATTTCAAAACAGACTACCCATGCTTATAGTTCCTCTGCCCCCTCCTCGCCAATTAGAGTCATATTAAATCAAAAAGTCTCAAAAATGCTTCTTAGGTCTGTGCACAACTGCACATTGACTTTAATTACATGTTTTATGTTAACAGGCTTCAAATAACTGTATTACATTACATGTCACTTGTTAGACGCTTTTATCCAAAGCGACTTACATACATTCAGTACTGTGGACAAACCCCACAGGAGCAATTTGGGGTGAAGTGTCTCGGGGACACAACGACATGCTGACTGCAGTGGGACTCGAACTTGCTACCCCCTGATTTGAAGTCCAGCACTCTATCCACTTAGCCACAACCACCCTTTTAGGATAGCTAAAGCAATAATAATATCCAGCTTGAATTAAATATATTGGGTTCAACTTCATATTATTGCTTTCAACTAACCTAATACAGTTATGTGAAATCTGTTGACATAATACATTTAATTAAAGTCAATGTTTCAGTTTTTGGAGGATGAGGGATAAGACCCAAACAAACTGGGATGTCAGAAAGCTGGATGAGGGGGGGTCTAAAGATGGACTGGGGGTGAAGAGGAGCAATCTGAGCACTTCAGATCGGGGGGGAGGGAAGGGGCCAGCAGTGTAGATAAAGTTCCTACTGTGTTATGTGTGTTTGGGATGCTCCAGTGTCAGGCTTCACATGGTATGTGTATGTACACTATTGCCCCTTTCACACCAGCGCTTTTTCAGCTCCGTGGAGCTGGAGCCTGAAAAGCGCCGGTTTTCCTTGTTCACACCGCAGCGGCGCCGGCTCTTAGCTCCGGAATCCGGTTCACTTCCAGCTCCAAAAAATTGTCGGTCTAGAGGCAAGAGCTTCGGAGCTAAGAGGTGGCGTCGCTTACGTCTCTCTTACGTCGAGGCGTGCAGGAAACTAAACCCACCTCCCCTGAACATGGGTCGACTGAAGAGTCTCGTCATGCCTGCCTACAAGCAGTAGTGCTTATAAACACACTTTATAAAGTCAGGCAACACTAACCAGGCTTCGTGTGATTCTGTTTATTTGTACCTTACTTTGACCATCCGTTCACTGTTATTGATCATTGTGGAGAGAGGCAGACGTGTCGTTTTGTATGATAGCAGCTATCGGATGGAATCAATACATGGGCTGCACAGGTTGTCGTGTCCGACTATCACAAGTAGAATCATAATAAAAATACGCCGGTAAAATGTGCCTGTAGAAAACGGTTTATGCCACAATAGGATAGCAATAGCAAGTAGTCAGTTTAGCTTTGGTTGCTATGCTAACATCACCCATTTTATACCAGAGAAACTTTCATAACAGCGTTGTGATACCAAACAGCGTCAATTCAGAGTGACACACATTCACTTAGGCTAAGGGGAACTGGGGATATGTATCAGCTGCTTGTGTGAGTCGGACAGTGAATACTTTAGAGCGGCCGCTGCAGTGTGAGCTAACCGGGAGCTAACGGAGGAGAATAAACTCCCGTGGAAGAGCAGCCAACACTGCAGCGGTCGGTAAATGCTGAAGAAACACATTAATAAACAATGAACCACGGCACTCTGGAGCAAAGTATAAGGTTGGAGAAGTCGTTATTCAATTTATTCTGGCTTCGTGTGATTAAAAGCAACACGATCATCGACCCGACGCAGTTCCCCGTTGTTGTGAGCGCCGTAATGCAGTTGGGGAGCAAATCAGCGATGTAAACGGTGACGTCATGACGCAGCAGCGGCAGCACCAGTCGGGTGCTGGGCGGTGTGAACAGAGCGGGAGCAGAAAAGGGAAACCGGAGCTGAACCAGAAAAGCTCTAGCTCGGAGCTAGAAAGGGAAAAGCGCTGGTGTGAAAGCCGCATATGTGTGTGTGTGTGTGTGTGTGTGGTGTGTGTGTGTGTGTGTGTGTGTGTGTGTGTGTGTGTGTGTGTGTGTGTGTGTGTGTGTGTGTGTGTGTGTGTGTGTGTGTGTGTGTGTGTGTGTGTGTGTGTGTGTGTGTGTGTGAGAGTGTGAGAGAGTGAGAAAGCGTGACAGCTCAGTGTAGAGGGCTGACTGAGACACTGCTATGTGTGTGTATGTGTGTGTTGAAATGTTTACAGTCTAGATGTTCCCTGTGTGTGCGACTGGCAGTCCTCCCTTTACTTTGCTGATGTTTACAGCTACAGAGAAGCGACATGACATATTGTACATTACGCGCCTAACCTCTCGGTTCTTTCTTTTTACATCTGCCAGGTTTTTCATGTGATCATGATTGATCATTTTCTCATGAGAGTTTGAGAGTGTGTGTGTCTCTGTGCATAATGATTGTTGTGCATGTGTAGGTGTGTGTGTGTGTGTGTGTGTGTGTGTGTGTGTGTGTGTGTGTGTGTGTATGTGTGTGTGTGTGTGTGTGTGTGTGTGTGTGTGTGTGTGTGTGTGTGTATGTGTATGTGTGTGTGTGTGTGTGTGTGTGTGTGTGTATGTGATTCTAAAGGCGCCTTTTGGTCTCTGCTACTGTCGGTTCCCCACATTGTGTTTCTGCTAGAGTCGGTCTGGCTGACAGCGCCTGGAGACGCCTCTCAGACCCCCAAGAGGATTTTGTAGTCCCGCTGTGGATCCACTGGACTGGGCTTATTTATTCATTTGTTATTTAACAATATTTGTTTAATATTCCAATCATGTGAGGTGTTACCCACTCTTCAGAATGCCAAGAGCTGATGTATGAAGACTTCTACAAATGAACATACAAACAAACTGCATTTACAAAGCTACTGTAAACAAATGGTGGAATAAATTGTGCTAGATGAGAGACTCCATTTTTATTCATGTTCCCTCTGTGACCCAGATACACTTCCTACAAAGTGAGCAGCAATGGGCTTTCCACCAAGCGCAGGGGTGGAAGAAGTATTCAGATGCTTTACTTGAGTAAAAGTACCAATATGTTATTGTCAAAATACTTATTACAACTAAAAGTGCTGCACTCAAAATCTTACTTAAGTACAGTACTTAATTACTTCCCACCTATTCTCAAGCATAATGTGGGCCTATAGAGTCAATATGTTAGTATACCTGTAAATAATGGGACATAGTCTTGTTATTCTGGGATTGAATGTGATGTCTCTTCTTTCTGTAACCAGGCTGTGTAATACAATCTCATTGGATTCTTTAACGACATTTCCCAGAATAGCTGTCCTTTCCATAATAAGTTGGAAATCTACAACATTCGGGTTCCCTTTTCTCTACGTTTTTGAACATGTTTTTGGTTAGATGCCTGAAACGTTCACTTTTCAAAAGGAAGATATTCAACATTCCATCCATCCATCCATCTTCTCCCGCTTATCCGTGGTCGGGTCGCGGGGGTAGCAGTTCCAGCAGAGAGCCCCAAACTTTCCTTTTCCTGGCCACATCAACCAGCTCTGACTGGGGGATCCCAAGGCACTCTCAGGCCAACGTAGAGATATAATCCCTCCACCTGGTCCTAGGTATACCCCTTGGTCTCTTCCCAGCTGGACGTGCCTGGAACACCTCCCTAGGGAGGCGCCCAGGTGGCATCCTAACTAGGTGCCCGAACCACCTCAACTGGCTCCTTTCGATGCGAAGGAGGAGCGGTTCAACTCTGAGTCCCTCCCGGATGACTGAACTTCTCACCTTATCCCTAAGGGAGACACCAGCCACCCTGCGGAGAAAACCCATCTCGGCCGCTTGTATCCGCGATCTTGTTCTTTCGGTCATGACCCATCCTTCATGACCATAGGTGAGGGTAGGAACGAAAATGGCCCGGTAGACAGAGAGCTTTGCCTTCTGGCTCAGCTCCCTTTTCGTCACAACGGTGCGGTAAAGCGACTGCAGTACCGCTCCCGCTGCTCCGATTCTCCGGCCCATCTCACGCTCCATTGTTCCCTCACTCGAGAACAAGACCCTGAGATACTTGAACTCCTTCACTTGGGGTAAGGACTCATTCCCTACTTGGAGTGGACAGTCCATCGGTTTCCTGCTGAGAACCATGGGCTCAGATTTGGAGGTGCTGATCCTCATCCCAGCCGCTTCACACTCAGTTGCGAACCGATCCAGTGAGTGCTGAAGGTCACAGACCGATGAAGCCATTAGAACCACATCATCTGCAAAAAGCAGTGGTGCAATCCTTAGTCCACCGAACTGTAGACCCCCTCCCCCACGACTACGCCTCGAAATCCGACCATGTATATGACACACAGGATTGGTGACAAAGCGCAGCCCTGGCGGAGGCCAACCCTCACCGGAAATGGGTCCGACTTACTGCCGAGGACCCGGACACAGCTCTCGCTTTGGGAGTACAGAGATTGGATGGCCCTGAGTAGAGACCCCCTCACCCCATACTCCCGCAGCACCTCCCACAGTAACTCCCTGGGAACTCGGTCATACGCCTTCTCCAAGTCTACAAAACACATGTAGACCGGATAAGCGTACTCCCAGGCCCCCTCCACGATCCTTGCGAGAGTAAAAAGCTGATCCGTCGTTCCACGACCAGGACGGAATCCGCATTGTTCCTCCTCAATCTGAGGTTCGACAATCGGCCTGACCCTCCTTTCGAGTACCTTAGAGTAAACTTTTGAGTAGTGTGATGCCTCTGTAATTGGCACACCCACCCTCTGATCCCCCTTTTTGAAAAAGGGAACCACCACCCCGGTCTGCCACTCCTTCTGTACCGTTTCCGAGTTCCACGCAACGTTGATGAGACGTGTCAACCATGACAGTCCCTCAACACCCAGAGCCTTCAGCATTTCTGGGCGGATCTCATCCACCCCCGGGGCTTTGCCACTGTGGAGTTGTTTGACGACCTCAGTGACCTCCCCCCGGGAGATTGGTGTTGATCCCCCGTCATACTCCAGCTCTGCCTCTAACATAGAGGGCGGAGTTGTCGTGTTCAGGAGTTCCTCAAAGTGTTCCTTCCAACGCCCTAACACTCCATCAGTTGAGGTCAACAACATCCCATCCTTACTGTACACAGCTTGGATGGTCCCCTGCTTCCCCCTCCTGAGGTGTCGGACAGTTTTCCAGAACAACTTTGGTGCCGCCCGAAAGTCCTTTTCCATGTCTTCTCCGAACTTCTCCCACACCCGTTGCTTTGCCTCGGCCACGGCTGAGGCTGCTGCCCTTCGGGCCTGTCGGTACCTTGCAACTGCCTCGGGAGTCCCCCGGGATAACAAATCCCTGAAGGCCTTCTTCCCTCCGGGCCGGGTATCCTCACTTCTTGGTTTTTCTTTCATGAGGTCTTTTCAACATTCCAAAGAATACAATATTTTCAACTTGAATTTAATCAATTTATTTGAAATGTGGGCTTATTAACACATGAATACTGTGTAATATATTGTTACATATATATTTAAGAAGTACAATATAAGACAAGCACAAGTTTCATGTGTGGGCCATATTCCATTATACTTTAAAAATGTGATGCAGGCCAATTAAAAATGGACCCCAGGCTGCAGTTGGCCCCTGGGCCATAGTTTGGACACCCCTGGCTTAGGTGCTGTTTAGACGAGAACGCAAACGGTTGTATCCGCTACTTTTCTCTTTCGTATAGCCCGTTTGTTCACACGAGGCCGTAACGGAAACGCGGAAACTGACCCCGCAAACGATAACGGGTCCCAAGGTGGATAGATCTGCAAACGGAACGCTCTGGGGGGCCAAACGGTTCAGGTGCTGTTTACACGAGAACGCAAACGGTTGTATCTACTTTTCTCTTTTGTATAGCCCGTTCGTTCACACGAGGCCGTAACGGAAACGCACGATCTCGTGTGGGAGTACAGCGCCACTTACAGGTCCGGCATATGTACTCCAGCGTTTTCGAGCGGTCTCGTGTGAACGGAAGACTTTTTTGATATCGTATTCGGTTCATATGCGTTTGCGTGTAAATGGCCTCTCAGTGTGTACGCCCTATACCAG